TACCAGTCCTCGACGCTTGAGGTGAAAGTTCAAAAAATGAGCCTGACTGAGAAGCTTTCTTCACTTGCTGACTTGGTTTTGGGTCAGAGGTAAACTTTTGACGGTCAAATATTGGAGAATTTTTTTTAACGCCATGAGATCCAGCACGTTGTGACATTTTATATCGTCCATATATGGTATGAGCCTTTGTTAACTTCGGAGGCTGATGCATAGCTGGATGATTACGCAGACTTATGACGTCTCCTTTTGCATTTCCCTTGAGATGAACCATCGCTAAGCCTAGTTCGGGCTTTTTTGCAGCTTTTTTAGATGACCTAAAGCTATCTACATAGTTAAAGTCAACCACACCTGACCTGCTTACATGAACTGGTGACTGCTTTACCTCTCTGTTACTTACTGTTTCTGCAAAGGTCTGTGAACGTGACATAAGCGGTGGCTTAGGCCTAAGAACTGGTTTCCTTAACTGTCTCGGGGATGGTCTGTTTGATTTTAGCACGTCAACATTCGTACATTCTTCCAAATTGTCAGGCTTGTCAATAATTATGCTTTCTACCTGTCTCTTATACAAATCTAGATGTGTATAAGAGACAGATATATATGTGTGTGTGTATTTATAATAATATATATTATACAGGGTCTCGCCAGCTATACTTAGCGGCGAGACATATACATACATACTCAAATTCCTTGATGTAATGTAAGTGCCCTTTAATAATATCTCAGTCATTGGAACAAACACATACAGCATGAATCAGGGCATGGTGTTTGAGCCCACCAGGTGCCCACTTACATGTATTTCTGGGTGGAGAGAGACAATTAGTGAGTATATCTTGCCCAAGGACATAAGCAATATTCAAAGTGAATCTTTGAACTTAGTCTACTCCCACAATTGTAGGACTACTTGTTGGATGTGAAAGGAATTTATTAGATATAGGAAGTACACTATAATTGTGCACAAAGAAAGAAATATAATTGCCTGGCTTAGAACATGCCTACACATTTCATATACAAACACTTACATTCAGACGCTCCTGATTTCTTTTGTGTAGGTATGTACGTAACAACACTTCTGGTTGTGTTCAATGAAAATGTATAGTACTTAGAACTGCCCGAGTCTTTGATTTTAGTGAACTGAGTTCCAGCTGTCAGCTTGTTGATTAACGGATCATCTGTTAACAAATTAGCAAAAATTTGAAGTATTTTACATGCGACTTTGACTTAGTATAATACAGGTCTCTCTCTCTAATTGAAGACCCCTCCAATTAAAGACTACCTCCAATTTTCTGTGGTCTTAAACTAACATATGTCTTTTATTGGTGATCCGCTACACTAGCGGATCACCTCTTGTTATTGTCAGAGATCTTCTTTTTTTTTCCCCCATTTCTTGTTAGCACGATATCTAAAAATTGGCAAGAGATTCATACATGCACGCTTCAACAAACATTTAGCTTGGCCTGGAATAGTCACAATAAGGTTTTCAAAGTGTGCAGTTATGCGTGACGTCATCTACGCGCAATTTTGCGTTTTTACATAATCGATCATATCAGCCTAACCAATTGTTATTTCGAAATCGTATTAAGTGAGCATTAACTTCAAGTCAATGTTAAATGTAATTTACCCAAATTTTACGCGTGTGCGTCATAACGCGCGCGTACGCGTGCGTCAAACTTTTAAAATGCTTGAAATCACATTTAGATTAAATTACAGCACGTTTCAGGCCATTTTGAGCATTTCAAATTTTTTGGAAATTTACCACTACGCTTGCGCATTTTTAAGCGCGCAGCACGTATGGAAGCAGGAAAATAATTTTTTTTGTCAAATTTTGGTTTCCTGACATTGTTTTGACAAGTTTCCAATCTTTTCAATCACTCTATGGCCAATAACAATGCCGTACGCACGCATCAAACATAGTGACCTTCGTGCGCATTTGTGCCGATATACAGTGAAATTTTGCTAAAATCAGGCCTAATTTTAAACAGTTACAGCTCATTAGGATGAAAGGTGACCCCCAATTTTTATTACATATTCTGAAAGTAGATGAGTTGCAAATATGATTTTATAGGTCATAATGGCTGATCGGACATTATGACGTCATCATATTGCCATCTGAATTCAAGAAACTGAATATTATCGATGACCTCATTTTAGCAAATGTGCATTTGAGCGTATCTCGCTTATTCTCGATGGATTGTCTTCCAACTTTGAGTTTGTTGTAGCTGAGGCAATTGTCTTTCATATATGTTGCATTTTTGTACATTTCGTCGCTCACATCACGAACTAACACAATTAAATTCAATTGTGTTAGTTCGTGAAATCAAAAAAGCGCGTCAAAATACGCGCTGTTGTCGTTAAGGACTTTTTGTGTGGTAAAGAATACAAAATTGCTTGACAACCAATACGCGCTCGTTTCGACGCGCTACTGTGATTTCACGAACTAACACCATCTACTTTGATTGTGTTAGTTCGTGATGTGAGCGACGATTTTGATGACGTCATCATGGTCAAAATATAGGGTTTTGCTTACCCCCCTCATCTTTCTTTCGTCCAGCCTTTGATGACCCCATAATCACCTTAATCAGTCGTGATTTCTGAATCATATTTAGTGGGTATAAACTTCAGGTCATGGTTAAATGTTATCTCTTATACACATCT